ACCTCCATTTCTTCCCCATCTGTTTGCCAGGAAGTGATAGGACCAGTTGCCATGATTATAGTTTTTTTAATGTTGAGTTTCAAGCCAACTTTTGCGCTCTCCTCCTTCACCCGCATCAAGAAGCTCTTTAGTTCCTCTTCAGTTTCTGCCATTAGAGTGGTATCATCTGCATATTCGAGGATGTTGATATTTCTCAATTGCAATCTTAATTCCAACTTGTGATTCATCTAGCCCCACTTTTCTCATGATGTGCTCTGCATATAAGTTAAATAGGCAGGGCGACAGTATACAGCCTTGCCAAACGCCTTTCTCAATTTTGAACCAATCAGTGGTTCCGTGTCCTCACTGTTGCTTCTTGACCTGCATATCAGTTTCTCAAGAGACAAATAAGATGGTCTGGTACTCCCATCTCTTTAAGAACTTGCCACAATTTGTTGTGATCCACATGATCAAAGGCTTTAGCATAGTCAATGAAGCAGAAGTAGATGTTTTTCTGGGACTCCCGAGCTATCTCCATGATCCTGCGTATGTTGACAATCTGATCTCTAGTTCCTCTGCCTCTTCGAAACCCCGCCTATACTTCTGGTAGTTCTCGGTTCACATACTGCTGGAGCCTAGCTTGTAGGATTTTGAGCATTAACTTTGCTAGCATGTGAAATGAGTGTAATGGTGCGGTAGTTTGAACATTCTTTGGCATTGCCCTTCTTTGGGATTGGAATGTAAACTGACCTTTTCCAATCCTGTGGCCACTGTTGAGTTTTCCAAATTTGCTGGCATATTGAGTGTAGCACTTTTACTGCATTGTCTTTTAGGATTTTGAGTAGCTCAGCTGGAATACTGTCACCTCCACTAGCTTTGTTGTTGCTCAGACTTCCTAAGGCCCATTTGACTTCACATTCCAGGATGTCTGGCTCGAGATCAGCGACCACCCCATTGCGGTTATCAGGGATGTTAAGCTCTTTCTTGTATAGCTCTTCTGTGCAATTTTGCCACCTCTTCTTCATCTCTTCTGCCTCTGTTAAATCCCTGCCATTTTGGTCCTTTATCATGACCATCTTTGCATGAAACGTTCCCTTCGTATCTCCAATTTTCTTGAAGAAATCTCTGGTCCTCCCTGTTCTGTTGTTTTCTTCTATTTCTTTGCACTGTTCATTTAAGAAGGCATTCTGATCTTTTCTAGCTATTCTCTGGAATTTTGCATTCAGTTGGGTGTATCTTTCTCTTTCCCCCTTGCCTTTTGCTTCCCTTCTTTCCTCAGCTATTTGTAAAGCTTTCTTGGACAGCCATTTTGCTTTCTTGCATTTCTTTTTCTTTGGGATGGTTGTACAGTGTTGTGGCCTAGTGCTTTTGGGATGGTTGTACCTGAGCGGCCTAGTGCTTTCCCCTACTTTCTTCAATTTAAGCCTGAATTTTGCAACAAGAAGCTCATGATCTGAGCCACAGTCAGCTCCTGGTCATGTTTTTACTGACTGTATAGAGCTTCTCCATCTTTGGCTGCAGAGCACATAGTCAGTCCGATTTCTGTGTTGACCGTCTGGTGATGTCCATGTGTAGAGTTGTCTCTTGGGTTGTTGGAAAAGAGTGTTTGCTATGACCATCGTATTCTCTTGACAAAATTCTACCAGCCTGTGCCCTGCTTCATTTTGTACTCCAAGACCAAACTTGCCTGTTATTCCAGTGATCTTTTGGCTTCCTACTTTAGCATTCCAATCCCCCATGATGATAAGGACATCATTTTTTGGTGTTAATTCTAGAAGGTGTTGTAGGCCTTCATAGAACTGGTCAACCTCAGCCTCTTCAGCACCAGTGGTTGGGGCATAGACTTGGACTCTTGTGATGTTGAATGGTTTGCCTTGGATTCAAACTGAGATCATTCTGTCATTTTGGAGATTGTATCCCAGTACTGCTTTTCCTACTCTTTTATTGACTATGAAGGCTACTTCATTTCTCCTGAGGCATTCTTGCCCGCAGTAATATACCTGATGGTCATCTGAAGTAAATTCACCCATTCCTGTCCATTTTAGTTCACTGATTCCTAAGATGTCAATGTTCAGTGTTGTCATCTCTTGTCTGATCACGTCCAGCTTGCCTTGATTCATGGATCTTACATTCCAGGTTCCTACAGAGTACAGATCTTTGCAGCATCGAACTTTCCTTTCACCACCAGATACACCCGCAACTGAGTGTCCTTTTGGCTTTGATCCAGTCGCTTCATTCTTTCTGGCACTACTAGTACTAGCCCTCTGCTCTTCCCCAGTAGCACACTGGACACCTTCCGACCTGAGGGGCTCTTCTTCCGGTGTCATATCTTCTTGCTTTTTGGTACTGTCCATGGGGTTTTAATGGCAAGGATACTGGAGCGGGTTGCCATTTCCTTCTCCAGTGGATCAGCTTTTGTCAGAGCTCTCTGCTATGACCCGTCTGTTTTGGGTGCCCCTGCACCATATAGCTCATAGCTTCATTAAGCTACACAAGCCCCTTCACCATGACAAGGCAGTGATCCATGAAGGGGCTGTATGTAGTTGCCCAGGTGTAATTCTCCCTTCCCTGTAAGATTCAGTTTGAAGCCCTCCTGACAAACTTCTTCACATTCTTTCCAGTCTTTTTCAGGTCCAACCTATTCCTGTCAACAGTCTGTCTTCCAGGAATTGTAGCCTGTGGGTCCTTGGCCAAAGCTCTGAGCGATGAAGCTTGTTTCAGCTTAATTCTCACAGATATCAGGGGTACAATCATACTCTTTGGTGTGTTGATGTTAACGGGTGTGACTACTTCAGTTTGAATTTAGGGTGCAGGTTTGTATTGAAACAGCCTTTGTAACTTGAATGGATGATCTCTATCTGAGGGAAGACAGAGGGAGTTTGACTCTGTTCATTCTCCTTGACAGCTCAGCAGGTTTTGAGGCAACTGACCATGGTATCCATGGTATCCTGATGAACTACCACTGTGGGTTAGGACTGAGAGAAGTGATAATATAGAGCGTGGGTCCTCAAACTACACCCTGCGGGCTGGATCCAGCCCAGCAAGCCCATTTATTCAGCCTGCCATAGAGGTTTTGTATTCGCCTTGTGTGCAGCGAGGCAGGGGCTTGCTCAGGTGGAGATTGTTTTGGAATTGCTCGGAAAAAAGGATCTCTTTGCAAGCAAGCCTCTGCCTCACAGTGCGCGCACCCAGTGGTTGCTTGCTCCCAAGACGACCGTTTTGGACTCACTCGGAGAAAATGATTGGCTTGTGAGCAAGCTGGCGTATTGCTGCATGCATGCACGCACATCCTCCACCTGCACCGCCTTGGTGGCCCGCGCCTCCCACCAGCACCTTTTGACTGCCCCCCTTTAAAAAAGTTTGAGGATCTCTGATATAGAGGTTTTGTATGCAACCGCATGATTAGTTTCAGAAAGTAGCCCACATTGTGACCAATTTATACAATACAGTTGTAAAACCTTGGATTGCGAGCATAATTCGTTCTGGAAACACGCCTGTAATCCAAAGCACTTGTATATCAAAGCAAATTTCCCCATAAGGTTCAATGTAAATAAGGTTAATCCGTTCTGTAACTTTTTTTTTTTTTAATTACAAAAATTTGAAGCGGGCACGCTTGGGGTGGGGTGGGGAAACAATGCTGTACTTACACCCGCAGCGAGAGAGAGAAGAACTGGTGCTCAGTTGTGACGTGATGCTAGGCAGGCAAAATGTGCATAATACTCGTACTGCAAGTCATCACTTGTTTATCAAGTTAAAATTTAGAAAAACTTTTTGCTTGTCTTGCAAAACACTCGCAGACCAAGTTACTCGCAATCCAAGGTTTTACTGCTTGGAAGGGCAATCTGAACCACTTTTCTACAAATTCCCAGTTTCTGGGAATGTACTGCAGTGGTGGTACAAAGAGTAGAGGATAATGTGACATTTTCATTTCCCTTATCCTCATTGCAAGTGACAACTCCAAGGGGAAGTAAAATTCTAAGACCTTCTCAGGAGTTCTTACTTTTATATAAGATTGCTAAGTGGGTTCCCCCTGCCCCTTACTCCACCTTTTCTTTTACTTTCCTGTCAAGTGGTAGCTTGACTCCCTGCAGAAGCCAGTGGGAATGATGCTATGTCACATGAGGCAGCATCATTTCAGTGCGCTAAGGAACATTCTGCTCCAGTCTGATCATGGGTGGGTTGCTGTGAGAAGCCTGAGCTGGCAGGGAGACTTTAAAAAATAGTAAAAAAAACCCAAACCCATTCACTCACACACACACCCTCATATAAGCTCTACTCCCTTCCTTCAGGGTTGGTTGGCTGGTTGGTTGGCTTTTTGCCACCCCATAAAATGCTCCCTTCCCTGATTTTTGTCGTGGCACTTATTTCTCATCAACTTATGTTCTCAGAGTTTATATGGCACCAAATAAATTTTATTTATTTATTTATTTTTCGATTTATATCCTGCCTTTTTCCTACAAAGGGCTTAAGGCAGCTTACATCTCCTCCTCCATCTTATCCCCACAACAACAACCCTGTGAGGTAGGTTGGGCTGAGAGTCTGTGACTGGCCCAAAGTCACCCAGTTGGCTCCATGGCCGAGCGGGGACTAGAACTCAGATCATCTGAGTCCCAGTCCCATGCTCTTAACCACTACACCACAGTGGCTTTATTGTCACTGATGTGACAACAAGTAGCCTATCACCATAGCAAAACCATGGGATTGTTCAAGTAATCTAATTGCATGAGTTAAATCACATTCTGTTAGTGGATTACTATCATCTCCCTATGCCACCATCACCACAGATTATCTCTGAAATGCTTTTGTAATTACTTGATGATAATAATAGTAGATACAGTTCTGTAGAATTAGGGAGCTAACTTCTTGAAGAAAATCTATCCAGATGGTTATTATTTCATTTTCAACATGCAGATCATATTCTCTATTTTGATGAAAGAAAAGTACCCAAGAATCAAGTTCTGTTTAGCTTCTGTTCCCTGTGAAATGCATAGACTGTAATTTTCAGTAATGCTTCCAGTTACCTTATATTCACTTGAAATTGCATCAGTTGAAATGACCAGTTCTCGAGTTGATGGAAGTCCAGGGGGGCCAGGAGGACCAATATCACCCTGCAGGGAAATGGCATGGATAATTTTAACTAGCAAAGTAAATATTTGAAGTAAACTGGATATCCACTGTTTAAACTATAGGAGAATGAGTAACTTCTAGTGGTTGGCCATAATGTTATACTGATTTTCAGACTTAGAAAGCTGAACATTGGATGCTATAAATATAATAATGGGCTATAGATAACAAATGGATCAAAATGCTCTGTGCATTTCACCTCAATTAAAAAGGGGCAAAACTAGATAAAGGGTTAATGTTTTTGCAATTAACTTTTTATTTAAATAGGCACAAAGAGGGGTCATGAACAGTTGGTGGAGACCATAGTGGGTAGGGAGGGGATGCTTAACTGTTTCTCTAATCTTGCCATCTCTCTTGGGAAAATTTTTCTCCTGAAGCTACTGTAAGTCCTGGATTGAAGCACTTAATTACACTAGCAGAAGCTTCCCTTTCAAGTTTTATAGCAACTTTGGCAAATGAGGTAGCAATGATTTTTTGCTTGAATGGTGGGGAAGAGGAAAATAGTAACTCCTGATACTCTACCCTTCCATGCAGCAGTCATTAAATAAAACAAAACATGCAGTAACATTGCAATAGTAAAGTTAACATAACTTCTGGTTTGTTCATAGCGTTTGGAAAGATGTTGGGAAATTACTTTTTACAAAAAGACTGAAAGGCTTTGGACCTTCTTTTAGAAAGAAAAGGGGCATTGGGCGGCAATGACAGAGGTTTATAAAATGATGAATCTCTGTGGAAAGAATTTTTTCATGTAACTCACTTGCTTCCAGCTTATCACTGAACTTGAGTAGCAGTAAGAACAGAAGACGAGCCATGCTGGATCAGACCAAGGTTCACATAGTAGCCAACAAGCTGTGTGTGGGGAGCCCTATGCAGGATGCCAGTGAAGAGCCTACTCCTGCACCTGCTCCCCAACAAGCTAATTTGGGGAGGCACACAACCCCACTTGAAGGGACTGCCAGGGCTCATCCAGTCAAATCATCCTCATACTCTGGCTGTAGGTTCCCAAGCAGCTACGTATGAGGACAAAGGTGAAATGGAAGGATACTTGAGAGGGCTTCCAGTCAGTAAGGATGGACTAGCCAGGCTGGGGGAGAGTGGAATTGTATCAGCAGCTGCTGGGCCCAAGCAGACTATTAAGTGCTGGGAAGTAGCAGGAAGGTGGGGCTGAAAGGAGATTGTTGTATGGTACAGCAGAAGAAGGTGGAAAATTAATGAAGGACAAGTTTATTAAGGTTACCATCCATAATGGACCTTCCATGTCCAGACTGAATTCCAGATACAGAGAGAACCTGTTAATGAGGGCCATGTACTTCATGTCTCCTTTATGAGTTTCTAGAAACTTTTGGCCAACCATGAAATTGGAATCAGCATCATGTATTTTATATTGTTTTGTAGCTGTGTGTCATACAGACATTAGTCAAAGAAAGATCAGTCCAAACTATGGCCTTCATATCCTATTACAAAAACAAGCCAATTAAATTTCTTTTACCTTCTCACCCTTTTCTCCATAAAAGCCAAGACCTCTGTTGCCCTGAAATGACAATTGATGGAAATTTAGACTATTTTTCAGACAGATGGAGTACTTGTGGCTTTTTCTTCATATCACTTGCATATGTATTATACAACCAATATTTTTACAATCAATTTAAATAATTCTGCCATGACACTTAGGTTATAAATTATCAGTTGCATGTATCCCGTGGACTCATTTTCTACAGTATCTCGATATTCTGAGATCACAAAACCATAGAATAGTGGAGTTGGAAGGAGCCAAGACGACCACTGGGTCCAACCCCCTGCTGTTGCAGGTTACCAATTTAAACCATCCCACTTGAATAAGGGGATTTAGCACATACATGCTAATACATGTATGTTTAGTACATACATACTAATAAAGATAATAAAATCCTCTAGGCAATTATGCTGTTGGTTTTGAATTGCATTTCTTCCTGTACCTTGTAAACTCCTTCTAAACTAATACGCTATCTTTACTCATGGGAAGCTGGTTCACCCTAGGGTATGAGGATGTTCCTATGGATTATCTTCTAACCAAATGCATAGTTTAAAAGCCAGGGAAGGAGTTGATACTATTTATTGTTTAATAAAAAATTAAATGTTCGGATAAACAACAGGGTAGCCAAGCCAAAGAACTCTCCAACTCCCTTCTACTGCTGTCAGTTCAAATAAAATAGCTTATTCAGTTGATCCTAGCAGAACACTGAAAAGGGGTGGATGCTGACCCATTTCCTTTTTTTCAGTGTGTGTCTCATTAGCTCTTGCAGGGGACTTCTGACTACTGAATCATCAATTTATGTTATTTAAAAAGTTGGCTCTTTTGGAAGTAGCTTCTTGGAAAGGGAAGTGTTTAAACACTATAAAGGGATTTAGCTCAGTAAATCCAGAAAGAATGAGGAAAGAATGGAGGCAAAGGGGTGTTTTCTAACTAGAAGTGCAAAATTTTGTTTTTGGTTCAACTTGACTGCTTCTGTGAATAGCAGACAAGCTGTTTTCACTGAGCACAATAGGTCTGACTCATCTCTAGTTGATCTTTTTAGATCTGTATTAGCTGCAGGCCATCTAACAACCTCCTGCCACAGTTCATCTCAGTATTGTAGTGTATCAACAAATTTGTCATGTTTACAGGTCTTTCCATCAACCTTATCCTCTTGCTATTAAGCCCTATTGTTTATATTGCTTCCTGCTGGTACAGCATAAGCTGGTTGAAAATAATATAAAACTCTTCATTAGCCTTTCTTTCTGATTATCCAGACAGTAGCAGAAATGCTATCTTTGGAGGAAAAGTCATTGCAACATTACAAACTTATGAGTATTCAATGCTAATTCATAGAAATAAGACTTCTGCATTCATTATTGAGGAATATTTATTTCATTGTATCCCAGTAGTTAAGGCTGGGATAGAGTAAACTCGTTCTTCAAGCAAAGATCCATAGAAACATAGCAAGTCAGAAGGGGCCTCCCGGGCCATCTAGTCTGACCCTTGGTTCCAGCCGGCTCCACTCACGACATGCCCACCATGTGCATTTACCATGGTGTATATAATCATACCAGCAGTCACTTTGAAAGACACCTGAATTATGTTCTATGAATTAGAAAAATGCTTACTTTAAGTCCCTGAGATCCTGGTGGACCCGCAGGCCCCTAAAAACAAGATTTTAGAAAATAAGAATTTAGGAAAGTTCAGTTCATATAACTATATTGGAAAAAGATAGTTATTTCACACATATTAAGTTCACCTAGAATATGTGTTTCTATACATTATTTTAATATCATTTTGGCATTTTACTAAACTTTCATTTTTCAGTTTAGTTTTTTATGCTTATATTGTAAACACTTTTTTAAAAAAGCAACATATACACATATTTCCAGATACTGTGGCACTATAGCTGCTATTCAAATTATTGTGACCATTCACCAGGGCAACTAAAGAAAATGAATTGAATATTTCTTTCAAACAGGTATTATACTATCTGCATTTCATAATACTTACAGGTAGACCTGGGTTTCCAACTGGACCAAACACACCCACCAAACCAGGGGCACCTTGAGGTCCCTATAAGTTTCAAAAAGTCAAATTGACTGTTAGTTATTCTGAACATGGCTGTTGTTATTACTATATCATTGTTACCTGTGACTATACTACTTCTATATATCTATGGTATTGACTTCCCAGGGATATTTGTCAAGTGTCATCCTTATACATATTCAGCACTGACAGTTTTATTTAAGGAGCATTTTAATTGATGATTTTAACTGGAATTTAATTTTAATTATTTTAATGTAAATTTTAGTTTTCTTAATTATGACATATGAGACAGTTTCAATCTGTTGTTAAACTATTATTTGGTGTTCTTCTTATGATGTTACGTTATGTTATTATTGATATTCTGGTTTTAACTGTCTAAATTGTGTTTAACCGTGTTATTTATGTTGCTGGTTTTTTATCACATAAACTGTCTAGAGTCATGTGATTATGAGATGGTATTCAAAAGTGTTAAATAAATAAAATACTTACAGGGAAGCCCACCAAGCCAGAATCACCAGGATTTCCCTAAAGAATGATAATTTAAAAGAATAAATACTATGCCCAGTTCTAACGCAAACACTTCCTACTAGGCAAGATAATAGGAATGCAAACACAATTTCTTTAGATGATCTAATTACCTTAAACTTTCTCTGATCAATTGTGAAAAGGAAACATTAAACTAGAAAAGAAAAATAAGGCTCAGAAGTATGACATGCATGTTAAATAAAAGCTATGCATAGATGGCTATTTTACTTGAAATGCATGTGGTACAAATATTACATTGAAGCATGAGATATTACAAAATTTTAATATGTCCAGAGACTGCCTGAAATGATGATGAAATGAAAAAAGAAGAGATTTCTTCTTGAAGATGGGGCTACAGAACATAAGTGGTTCTGTATGCTGAGGAGAAAAGCAGGTTGCTTACCTGTAACTGATGTTCTTCGAGTGGCCATCTGTGCAGTCACACATATGGGTACTGCGCCTGCGCAGTGCCTGTGGCCGGAAGATTGATAGCTAATGGTTTTTGGCGGGAAGCTCCGCTCCCCCTCCCCACTGCGGCCTATAAAGAGCGGAGCGACCGCCATTTTGTTCAGTCTTTGCGACCGAACGTACGATATCTTAATAATTTTAAATCTTTTTTTTTTGTGTCGGTACCATAAAAAAGGGGGATGGTCAGTACCAAAGATGCCTTTCTCATCGACACTGAGCTGTCGATGTGTCCACTCACCGACACCGAGCGGGGCCGGTGGGTGGGTTGTGTGACTGCACAGATGGCCACTCGAAGAACATCAGTTACAGGTAAGCAACCTGCTTTTCTTCGTCGTGGCCTCTGTGCATCACACATATGGGTAGATTAATAAGCTTACCATCAAGGAGGGGGGAAGGTGTCCTCAGTGAAGAACAGAGGAGAGTACAGCTCTACCGAAGGAGCAGTCCTGTCGAGCTCGAACATCGAGACGGTAGTGCCTGGCGAAGGTGCAAGGGTTCGCCCAAGTAGCGGCTCGGCAGACGTCATCAATCGGGACCCCCGATGCGAACGCAGACGAGGTTGCAACAGCTCTAGTAGAATGGCCTCGGGGAACTGAAGGCAGTTCAAGCTTAGCTAACTGATAGCACAATAGTGTGGACTATCCACTTAGAAAGTCTTTGTGGAGTGACTGGATCGCCCTGATCCCTAGTAGAATATTTGATGAATAGCTTATTGGATTGTCGAATAGACTCTGTCCACGATCGGTAGAAGGCTAAGCAACGGCGAACATCAAGTGAGCGCAACGATCTTTTCAAAGGGGGTGAAGGGAAAAAAGCAGGCAGCACAATGTCTTGTCCTGTATGGAAAGGTGTAGACACTTTGGGTAAAAAAGACAGGTCGAGGAGTAAGATGACCTTCTCTCTGTGAAAGTTTAGATAAGGAGGGTCTATTCGAAGAGCGCAAAGTTCACCGGCCCTCTGGGCTGAAGTGACAGCTACAAGAAACGCCGTCTTCCAAGAAACCAATTGCAGATCCACCGTTGCTAAAGGTTCAAAGGGGGCCTTCATAAGGGCCTGCAGAACTACAGAAAGGCTCCATGTGGGCATAACCGGTCTAATTGATGGGTTAAGATTATATAGTCCCCTCAAGAATCTCTTGAGGATAGGATGAGAAAACAGAGGTGATCCGTCAACTAATCCATGGTGGTAGGCTATCGCGGCTGTATAAACTTTAATGGATGACAGCTTCAATCCGGAATGGTGCAATTCCTGAAGGAACTGAAGAATCTGTTCAATAGATGAGAGGAATGGGGAGAACGAACGCGACTTGGCAAAGGTGGGAAAACGTTTCCATTTAGCCTTATATGACTTCCTTGTGGACGGCTTTAAGGCAGAGTCGATGATATGCTGAATATCAGGGTGCAAAAACGTCAGATTCGAATTCGACGGGTCTTGTCTCGAACCGGATGGTGCAGAGAGATCAGAGAAAGAGGAAGCACCTGAGTGATTGGATTCAACAATTGGATCTGAGGTGGTCGAAGTCATCGTCGGTACCGATAGATTAATAGAAGCTGTCGGATTCGTAACTCTCGAAACTGTCGTCGGCATCGATGGAACGTCAATCATCAAATTCGCCATGCTGTTAGGTTCAATGAGAGCAAGTCCGGGTGGCGAAGTGTGCCGTCCACCTGTGTTATAAGATATGGGAGCAATGGAAGATGAAGAAATTCCCCGCGAGAGATGTCGAATAGTTTCGCAAACCACGCTTGACGTGGCCACCAAGGGGCAACTAGTATCCCCGATGCCCGGTCGTGCACGATCTTTGCTATGACCTTCATCAGAAGAGGGATCGGAGGGAAGGCATAGAAATACATGTTGTTCCAAGGGATCATGAATGCGTCCCCTAGGGATGCGTGTCTGATTCCCGCTCTCGAACAGTAAGCCTCACACACCCTGTTGTGTTGGGTAGCGAGTAAGTCCACATCGGGGAACCCCCAGCGCCTGAAAAGGTGGTTGCGCGTACGAGGGTCCAGTTTCCATTAGTGAGAGGTGAACATGTGCCTGCTGAGAAGGTCCACGTGCACGTTGTCTATGCCAGCCACATGAACAGCCATCAGCACGATGTGTCTCTGAATGCACCAGTCCCAAATTTCCATCGAGAGTCTGGCTAGAGTTGGTGACTTCGTCCCTCCTTATTTGTTCAGATAAAAGACGGTCGCTATATTGTCCGAGGTTATCTGAACAATCTGATGATGAAGGAGGTCCTCAAAAGAACGAAGGGCCTTGAAGACTGCCAGTAGCTCCAGGAAGTTGATATGATTCGTGGATTCTAGACGATTCCACGTACCCTGGGTAGATAGGCCAGAGCATATCGCTCCCCATCCTAGGAGAGACACGTCGGTACTAAGGGTTATCGTAGGAGATCGCGCCTTGAAGGGGACTCCTATCGTAAGATTGGTCGGTTTCAGCCACCAGCGCAGAGAGTGGAGCATGGAAGATGGGATCCAAATCAGTTTGGACTGTGGCTCTCTTTGAGGGTGATACACCCTGTTGAAAAATAGTTGTAGTGGGCGAAGCCGAAGTCTGGCATGTGGAACCACGGCAACTGAGGATGCCATATGTCCCAGGACCCTCTGGATGGACCTTACCGTGACCGTTCCCTCTCGTCGGATTCGATGGATAAGGCAAGTAAGAGTCTGCTGTCTGTCTTGCGGGAGGAAAGCTTTCTCCAACGTCGAATCCAAGCGGGCTCCGATGAAGGTGAGCGTCTGTGTCAGAAGAAGAGAAGATTTCTCTGTATTAGTACGCGGGCTTAGGTCATCTAGTAAGGCCCAGGTCTTATGGATGGCCGCCAAGAGTCCTTCTCTGGACTGTGAGACCAACAACCAGTCATTGAGGTACAGATAAATTTGTATGCCCTGAAGGTGCAGGAAGGCACAGGAAGGCACAGACAGGAGCCATGCACTTGGTAAAAACTCTCGGAGCCGTAGCCAGTCCAAAAGGTAAAACTGTGAACTCATAAAGTTGGCTTGCAATCGCAAAACGAAGGAAACGCCTGTAATTTGGGTGAATTGAAATGTGGAAGTAGGCGTCCTTCAAGTCCAGTGAGGCAAACCAATCCTCTCTCCTTAACAACGGCAAAATGTTTTGAAGGGTAGTCATACGAAACTTTCTCGGTACAAGAAATGTATTTAAGTTCCGTAGATCCAAAATCGGACGTAGACCCCCATCCTGCTTAGGGACCGTGAAGTATCTGGAATAGAATCCGGGAAGTGTGTCCTCTCGCCTCTCTGCCCTGCAAGAATTCGACGACCGCAGAGTTCGGTTTCGGGTGTTTGAGGAGGGGAATATCCTCTTCCTGAACCCTAGTACATCGACTCCTGGACCTCCTGGACGTCGGCTGAGGAGGTGATGGCAGGTCCCAGGGCTGCGTCATTGCCTGCCGCAAGGTGGTTATGAGCGGCAGAACGATAGATGTCAATTGCTCCCCGCGGACGACGTCGTAAAACTTGTCCGTCAACGGTCCCAGGTGCTGGGCAGCGTCGATGTCCAGAGACTGGACAAGTCTCGACATCAGCTCCGCGAAGGAGACGTGGGACTCGTCGGGTGATGCAGGACCCTGGGATGTCACAGCGACGTCTGGGGAGGTTGAGTCGACCTCCGAGTCAGCCAAATTGGCACCGTAGTAGGGTGGAGCCAAAGATGACGACTCTGCCGGCGAGAAGGAGCGGCTGCTTCCACTTTGTGGGGATCGAGGTGGTACCCGCATCGAATCCACTGATTGCGGTTGGTCGTGGGGTGGAGGAGGTGATCGTGCCCTGGGAGCAGGGTAGTACCCTACAGAGAGCGGATTGTCCCAAGTATGGTAGTAAGGGCGACGCCAACTCTCCGGGCGTTGCTCTACCGAGCGGCTCCTCCAGCTCCCTGGTGGAGACAGGCCAACGTCCGTTTCCATTGTCACCGCGGGCATGGGTGTCGGTGACCTCACCCTAGGAGGGGAGTCTTGGATTTCCCCATCGGAAATTGAACCCCATAGAGTTGGAATGGGTGCAGGCGGGAGGTCAACCGAACGGCGGGGAGACCCTTGAGGGGTAACCCGCATAGCCTCCTGGAGGACCAGTTCGGGCGGGGTCGGTATCGTAACCACCACCGGTGCCGAGGGTCCCATCAGTTCCAAATTCCGATTTCGAGGACGGTCCGGACAGTCCAAGGTCTTGGACTTTTTTGGAGGCTTGGAAACCTTCTCCTTTCTGGCCTTCTTATGGCCTGCCGACTTCTCTTCGGCGTGCTTCCGCTTTTCATGCTTCTTTTTAGGTGAAGCAGAGGGGGTCACCGAAGCAGACGCACCTTCGTCCGAAGGCCGTGAGGGTGGGGCCACAGAAGCGGAGCCAGGTTTGGGGACGGCAACGAGTGGGTCTGTCTGCATCAGAGCCCGATCCCAAAGGAGCCTCCGAAGATGGTTTTCGCGGTTCTTCCTGGCCTGCTTGGAGAAGGCCAGGCAATGCACGCATTTATCTGTCCTATGCCCCTCTCCCAGGCAGAGGAGGCATAGGTCATGCGGGTCAGTTGGTGCCATTTTTGACCCGCAATCCGCGCATTTGCGGAAAGCCGCTCGCTGCGCCATTGCAGAAAAAGAGGAAGAGAGATAGTGAAGAGGGTAAGTGTGTGTGTGTGTGTGTGTGTGTGTATAGATAGATCGAAAGAAGAAATAACGAGAGAAAAGCTACACAGAATAATAAGTTGGGAGCAAGGAGAGGAAAAAACTAGGATAAGAGGACCATTCGAGAATGAGGTAATAGTCGAAGCGAAAGTTGAAAGCGGCACGAGGCACAGTGAATGGCGGTCGCAAAGACTGAACAAAATGGCAGTCGCTCCGCTCTTTATAGGCCACAGGGGGGAGGGGGAGTGGATAAATAAATAAAAACCGTTAGCTATCAATCTTCCGGCCACAGGCACTGCGCAGGCGCAGTACCCACATGTGTGATGCACAGAGGCCACGACGAAGAACTACATCATTTCTCCATCAGGAAAACACAGCAACCATGCAAAAATCTGATCAGTTTATATTTACTTTCCATACTTACCCTAAAAGATATGATTAATTCTGGAGCCAGCACAAAAGGCTCTCCTTTCTGACCTTTGGGTCCTTGGATTCCCTACATTGGTTGAAGAGAAAGAATCTTTAGCTTTCTTGTATCCATGAGCACTTAAACATCACAAGGGTTTTATGGAGCTTTCCGTTTTGGTAAGTTGACATATTTAACACCAACAATCTTCCCATTCAAGGAATCCATGGAGAACATATGCTTTTCATTATGGGGATGGCATGTCACAATTTCACAGAAAGAAAAAAATGCTGCTTTTCAATGCCTCATATTAACTGTCACACTTCAGACAAATTTTTATTTGGTACTGGAATCAAGAAATGTTTTGATATTATGCTGCCTGCTGATTCTGCTTTCATTAGAAAGCATCCTTAATCGTTTCCCTCATAGGTATGCTCCCCAGTGCAGGTAATAGCTTTTTACAGAATTGCAAGCACTACTGTAGAGTCCTAGGAGCATTACTGAAAGAATTCTACTCTTAGGCAGCCTAAAAAAGATTTAAAATAGAGCCACTATTGCCCGTGGCACACAGGTTCACATTTTGTGTTTATTTCATTTGTACCCCATATTGCTGCCAAGAAAATGACAGACAGCCAAAAATTCTACACATTTTTCATGGCACTTTTGGAATGTGCACAGCTTTATTAGCAATGACGACAAAGTGTTGGAGAATCAAGCTGGGAATGGAGGCAGATGCTTACAGTAACACTTTTACAAGGCTGAGGGAAGGCAAGGAGAGACTTATTACATTATGATAAACTATCTCTGGAAAGAGGGATAAAGTGATTGGCTGTCTGGCATGAGGACTCCGCTTGAAAGTTGGCACTTCTTTCTTTCCTTTAACTCCACAAGAAAATTTCTATAGTAGACAAAGAAAGATAAGAAGAATGGTTGGGATGAATGAATAAGAGCTCTGTTAAAGTCACTGCACCATTATTGAGGCACTATGAAATACTAGTGGAATGCATCCCCTCTAGAAATCATGGACTTCCTCTTATGTTCAGCCTTGCTTTAAAAAGTGAGACAAGCCAAGAGGAAATCCACAAACACTCACAGTACAGAGGCTGCACAACTCGCAACCCTTTCTGCATTCCTTGAAGCAGCTGCAGACGGTGTAGAAGAAAGATGCTGCTTGTGCAGTGGTCACACAGGGATCCATCCTTGGTGAGCCCTGCATGAACATTTGTCTTCTGTGTCAGGTGCATCTGTGCTGCTGCTGTTAACATGGAAGAGGGATGCTGCTTGGACAGTGTTTGCAGACTGATTGCTTTATAATCTGCTCCAGAATTTTTCCAAGGATTGATATCAAACTGACTAGTCTATAGTTCCAGGTTCTTTTTTTCTTTCCTTTCTTGAAGACAAGGACAACATTAGCCCTTCTCCAGTCATCTGGCACTTCCTCCCCTGTTCTCCATGATTTCTCAGAGATGATAGACAGTGCTTCTTAGACTTCTTCTGCCAGCTCCTTTATGACTTTAGGATGTTCATCAGGTCCCAGAGATTGGAACTCATTCAATCAAATTAGATGAACCTTGACCACTTGCCTTGAGCTGCCACCCTGCTCCTGCAGTTGGTACTTCATCAGGGAAAGTCATAGACCATTTTTCGTGAGAACACTTTGTTAAAGAAAGAATTGAGCACACCTGCCTTTTCTTAGTCATCTGCTATCATTTCACCATCTACAATGAGTGGTCAAGCCACCATTTCTTTCTTTTGTCTTATACTTTGGACATATCTGAAGAAAGTCTTTGTGTTGCTTCTGGCATCCATTGCTAGCCTCGGTTCATTCCGAGCTTTAGTAACCCTTCAATTTTGTGCTATCTGTCTGTATTCTCCCCTTTGTATCCTGGCCTCCCTTACAATTCCTATACATGTCATTTTTGGTTTTCAGATCATCTCTAAGCTTTTTGTAAAGCCACATAGGCTTCTTCTGTTGTCCTTTTTCTTTGTTGGAATTGCTTACAATTGTGCCTTTAGAAGTTCCCTTTTTAAAAAAATCCCCACCTGTCTTGGACCCCTTTTCTCATAATAATCACATAGGATGGGACTTGACTTAACATTGTTGTGCATTTATTAAAACTGGCTTTCCTAAAATTCAGGGTACACATTTGGCTACATTTCTCTTTTTCTTCCTTTAGAATTCAAGAATCCCAATTCTCACAGAGTTCCCATATCTGCCACTTAGTCTACTAGGTCTTCCCTTTTGATTAGCATCAAGTGAAGGATCTTCTCTTTTGATTAGCATCAAGTGAAGGATAGTTGTTCCTCTATTTCCTTCCCTCCACTGTCTGTAGGAGGAAGCTATCAGCAATGCCTATTAAGAATCTCTTGGAGGGGCCCTGCTAAGCAGGATTTGTCTCCCAAGAAATATTGGGGAAATTGAAGTCCTTAACAATGGTATCATGCCTCCTTGAAACATTGGCAACTTGCTTTTCAAAAGTTTCATCCTCATCTTCTCCTTGACTGGGTGATCAGTAATCGGCTCCAACCACTGTGTTCCTTTTATTCCTTGCTCCATTTATATTAATCCAGACATTCTCCTGCATTTCTGTGCAGAATTATGTATCTTTAACATAGAGTACAACTTTGCCTCCCTTTCTGTTCCTTCAAGTTCTTCCTGAACAGGTTCTATCTTTTAATAGTTGAATGCCAGTAATGGCAGTTATTTCACCAAATTTCACTTATACCTATCAGGTCATATTCAGCTTCTTGTATTAAGACTGCATGCTGTTTGTATCCTATACTGCAGGCATTAGTATATAGACATCAAAGACAGTGTGCTTCATATTCTAGCTTTCTTCCTACATTTTTGGAATACTGTTATTGGGCACTGCCGCAGCTGCTCTCTCCTCTGTTTGTTGCTATGCCCTGGGGTACTCCTTCTCCTGTAGGATTCAGTTTAAAGCCCTCCTGATAAACTTCTTCATGCTGTGGCCAAAACATTCCTTCTAGTCCTTCTAACATGCAACCCATCCCTTCCTAGTAGTCCATCAGGAAGTGGCCCCAGAATCCAAATCTCTTACCACCTTTGTAGCCAGGCATTCCCCTGGAGTATTTTTCTTTCCCTATCTATTCCTATTTCAAGAACTGGAAAGGTTGAAAACTATATGGGCCCCAAAGTTCTTGATTCTCCTCTCACGAGCTTCAAAGTCTGGCATAATTCATTCAAAACTCTACTTGGCAGTGTCATTTGCTCCAACATGCAAAGGAAGGAAGGGTTACATGTCAGTGGGCTGTATGAGCTTTGGCAATATTTCACTTGTACCATTAATCTGTCCTCCATGGAGACAGCATGCCAGATGGGTCCATAGGTCTTCCTGACATACATGTGCTTCCATCCTACACAACAGGAAGTCTCCACAACTACCACTCATCTCTTCTACTTGCAAGCCTTGGTATCATTGCCACTGCTTGACTGACCTTTAGTCTCTTGTTCAGTGTTGCATGGGATAACTTGTAGTTCTTCAACTTCAGGCTACCCTCCAGTCTTATCCTTGAGTAACTGAAAGCGGGTCCATAGTTCCACAGGTGCATTGTGTCTTCTAGTTTTTTGTCACCCTTTTCCGGGGTGTTTCCTCCTCATATTCCCTTCCTTAAGCTTTCTCCTCTTCTGCCTCAGCTTGCTGTTGCATTTCTAGCTGTTTTACTACTCTTAACTGTTACAGTTCCACTGCCATGTCTAAAAACTCTTCATCTTCTTTTATTACATTGAAAGTGTACACTCACTGCTCTAGTACTCTTACCTTTTCTTCCAACAGGGCTACCAGCTTGCACTTGTTGCTCATGTAGGCCATGTAGACCTCAGGCAAGAAAACAAACATTGCACAGACATTGTAGGTCACCATCACAGGGGAGTCTTCTCAGTCCATTATTTCTGCTACCTTTTTGATTCTAGCTTGTTGTGCCTGTTGTAGCAACCAGTGCTTTCTCCTGTCTTCCCTGAAGGTTAACAATAGAGTCCTACCAATAATAGGAACCTGTTACGTGGAAGGAAACAAATGGGGGAGGAACTAAGAGGAAAAACAGCAAAAGCTAAATGGTGATTTTCTAGAAAGGAACAATGTCAATCAACTGTTTACTTTGAAACAGTAAGGCTACATTAGTTGTTACTTTACATCAATCTTTTCAGTGTTAATAACTTACTGAGAAACCAGGCAAGCCTTGGACCCCCTGGCCTCCCTGCTGACCAGGATCTCCCTTGGTCCCATTACAGCCATCATGGCCTGGTTTCCCCCTTGATCCTCCTTGGCCTGGATGACCCTGTGAAGATAGAATAAATATAAATATATCCATCTGGCCATCTGTTTTCCCTTTCCACTTCCAAGTGTTCAGACAACTTTGAAATGTTCTCACCATTAGCCTATGCAAAGTTTCATGACAAAATGGAATGAAAAAAGGAATTCTTAATAAGATCACTGGAGTTCATCACAGACTCCCCAGAGTAAATGAAAATAGCATCACTAGAAACCAAAATCTCGACACATTCCCCATAAATTCCCCAAATTTCCCCATAAGGTTCAATGTAAATAAGGTTAATCCATTCTGTAACTATTTTTTTAATCAGAAAAATTTGAAACAAAGTGACAAAGAACAACAAAGTAACAAAGTACTGTACAGTACAGTGGAGTACACTAACCTAGGTTGGGGGGAGATTATTGTTTTGAGGGAGGGTCCCCCTTCATAAGGACATTGGGGAGATCTCTTTCAGGGGTTTCCTCTCTTTGTCTCTTAGCTGCAGGGTCAATTTTGGTGAAAAATCTGTCTATAGTCGCTTGTTTTTTCCTGCGCTGTATAACCCTCCAGAAATGAGAGACCACGTTATCGTTCCTCAGATTCAACACTCTGTTCGTTACAGTTATGTTGGGGTGGTGCTTCTCAAAGAAATCCTGGCACTCATTCCATTTTTTCATAATGGATTGTATCACATCACTGCTAACCTCCTCCCTGTCTTTCCTGCAGGAGCGCGCCCGTGATCACGCACGTCTTTCCTGCACGAATGCAACTGCGATTGTGGCCATCTCCCCACTTGGGGGGGCGGGGGGGAATGGCCGCGATCGCAGTTGCCACCCAATGCAGAGTTTGCAACCCAAGTCAAAATTTTCATGAAATTTTTGTTTGTGACCTGATTTGGTTGTGAACCAAGGCGTTCATGAGCTGAGGCACCACTGTATTTTTAACTTGCTGTATTGGTGGCAGTTTACATCAGATCAGTCTGAAAATGTATCCAGTTGTAGAACTCAGATTATGGATGCCACATCTTATAGTATTAGTTCAGCAGGCAGTATAATGTTGAGACTTCGTTTCGAGATTCTTCCTGAATGATTCATCTTGTGCCTCTTTAAGAAGCAAAATGTTTTTGTGGAAAAACATGAGAAAACTGCATTTAGATTGTCATATATGATGCCAGCATCTACAAGGGCTGTTCAATAAATTCTCGGTATTGATATATTATGCTTAATTTGCAGCTAATTTGATTCTGCTTAAAGGTAGAGACACTCTCTGAGGGTATATATGCAAAATTTCAGCTTGTTTTGATTATTACTACTGTGGCAATTGTTGTAAACACAAAACCGTTATGAGTGTTCATAGTAAGGTGACAAAACTTGAGCATTGCGCAATGATAAAATTCTTGATGAAACAAAGAAAAAGTCAAAAAACCATGCATGAAAAGATGATTGCCATGTGTCAAGAAGCTGCTCCTTCATTATTCGCGGTTCAAATATAGTCTAGTGAATTCAAGAGAGGCAGGGAGCACATCAAAGACAATCCATGTCCCGGATGACCAGTGGAAGCAGTTACCGACAAAATTGTCAAAAAAACTGAGATCATGTTGGAAAATGCTCGAATTTGAGTGAGAACATTAGCAGAAATGACTAACCTATCTGTTGGCACCATATACAATGTCCCTCATAACCGAGTTAATTTGTCAAAGGTGAGTGCAAGATGGATACCTCGAATGCTTGCATCCCTCAGAAACAAGTTCGAGTGGATTTTTGTAAAGAGTTTTTAAAACTGTGTGGTGATGATCCATCAATTATTATTGATTGAATTGTGACCGGAGATGAAACTTGGGTGCATCATTATGACCCAGAAAGCAAACAGGAGCTGATGAAGTGGCACAAAAAAGGAACACCCCCTCTGAAGTAGTACAAAGTCACCCCATCAGCCGAAAAGATGATGGCCATGTTTTTTTGGGATTGCAAAGGAATTTTATTATTGAGTATAAAGAAAAAGGTGAAACTATCAGTGAGACATTGTATGCTGATACTATGATATAAGTACATCAATTACAAGATGCTATTAAAGAGAAAAGACAAGGAAAATTGGCCAAAGGTGTACTGCTACTCCATGACAATGTGCCCGTGCACATGGTACAAGTTGCTTTGCCTCACTGTGGATGCCAGGAAATTAACCATGCACCCTGTAGAATGGCCTTAGCCCCCAGTGATTACTACCTGTTCCCCAATTTGAAAAAAGATCTTCATGGAATTCAATTGTCTAATGATGACAAGCTGAAGTCGACGATAATTGACCATTTTTCAGGGAAAGAAGAAATGTATTTTTTTCATGGAATAGAAGAACTAATTGCTAAATGTAAGAAATGTATAGATGCATTTGGATATACAAGGGCTTCCATAGGAGAAAGTCATCTCAGCATCTTAGTATAACATTCTATCTTTAATTTTTCCCAGACTGACATCAATTAGTTCCTAATACAATGGTTTAGAAAGTAATCGTGTGTCTTACATTTCTTGTACCACATAAAAGCATGCCATCCCATTTGTATATCATGTCCTTCAAGATATAGAATTATTTTGTTTCTTAATGTTATTCATTCTTTTAACCACATTAAAACACATGCTTGATAATACAACAACCAGTCAGGAAGACCAAAGCCCCCATTCCCTATAGCACCCTGGAGCATTTTTAACTTAATCCTTGATTTCTTCTTTTGCCATATAAATCAATACTGAGAATTTATTGAACATCCCTTGTATGTATATTGAACTGCATGACCAGAATTTTTCAAGCACATGCACATGTGTAATCATCACTCATGAAACTGTTCTTTTCCCCTGCTATCTGTGTAGAATATCTGTGCACCATTATGTTCTTACATTCTGATACTATTTCAACTAAATTTGCTGCACTAAGGCAAGTACCTTGAAAGACTGGGACCAGTGTTAATTTGAAGAGACCCATTCAGAATTTTGTGAAGGGTGAAACCATAGGCTTTCAAAATTTGCTCAAGTGTTTTTGTAGTCTAAATACCCTCTGACAGATTCACTATTTGCAATGCAAAGACTATTTGTTATTGTTTCTTGAGTTTTACTTGCAGGCCCTGCTTTCTGTTTGGTCTGTCTGTGAGATTAGGTGGGCAGGCATTTCAGACAGGGCCTTTTTGGCAGCATTACCAGAACTGGAGGAGATCCACTAGAGTCCATATTTGGCTGTCCACAGACAGCTAAGAAAAACTTTTTAAAAATTCCAGTCAGCTTTTAATATAGTGTTTAAGTTGTTATAGTTTGCATTGTTATGTTGTTTAAATTGTTATAGTGCTTTAAATTCTTAATGTTAGTCTATAGCTTTAAACTAGCACCTGTTAAAAATCACTAAAAGGTAAAACTAATTTTGTTTATGTTTTTAAAGTTTGAAATGATTTACATTTATATTCTTGTATGCTATTTATTTAAGAAAAAAGGAAAAATGGACTATTTTACTTATTAGCATGCTACTGAACTCAGTGTCTGTCAGGCAACATATCATAATAGACAGATTATTTGAAACCAGTATGAACTATTTACAAAAAGGAGGCTCACAAGACATCTTGATTTCGGTATATTAAAAGACAGGTTACTTACAGGTACACCATCTACACCAGCAAACCCAGTAACCCCTCTCTGTCCCTAGAATCAAAAGAGAAACAAGATTAAAATATTGATTTCTTTAGTTGTTCTTTACATTTAGGTTGATCTACTGACATTTGTATACTTACCACTTCTCCCTTTGGTCCAGTTATTCCTGGTTGGCCTCTTTCACCTTTGTCTCCTTTCTGACCTGACAGTCCTGGGATACCTTCCAATCCAGGTGGGCCAGGGGGTCCCAACTGCCCCAGTTGCCCTGGCTGGCCCTGCAAATGACAAAAAAAGACTATTCCTCAGGAAACACTGCAACACTTAATCTGTGTAGTAATGGAGAACTGTTCACATTTCCTAATGAAGAAATAGCTATTTTTGTTATAGAGTTGCTTTGAACAGGTACAAAATAGGCAGCATAAATAAGAAATCCAAAATCTACATCTATGAACCTAAACAACTTATTTCCCCTAAAAATCTCAGCCAAAGTTTTTGCCACCAACCCAACACCTACAAGTTTGTACTGAAGGTGCAGGGATATCCTGTCAGGGATCCTCAAAACCTCAGCCAAAGTTTTGTGTAGTTTTGTACTAGTAACTTTACATTTTGTGTAACCAAGGGCATGTGTAGCTGGGAGAGGAGAGGAGATGAGAGGAGTAGCACATATCGTCTGGGCTCAGGCAGCTCCATAGAATACTTTTAGACTTGGCATAAAAAGTAGGTGCCTGAAAATGCAATGCAGTTTTTATAGAAGCCTTGTAATGCCTGCTGGCTGCTTCTATCTGGAAAAAAGGTGAGGGGTGTGTTGTGGGGGAAACAGAAGAAACTAGGGAGATTGTGGCAATGCAAATCCCCTCAGTACAATAAACTCACAGCTATAAGCGGCAAGAAGTAAGGGAAACAACAACTCTGAAGTTCCAAGCCAAGGAAACTCACCTGCAAAATTTGCGATGTAAGGCATACCTGGTTTTCTCCACTTCCTTCCAAGCACATCTGGGCAAAAGGCTTTCTAACTAAAGTGCCTTCAAGGTGGATTGTGCTACTTATGGGAAAGTATAGCATTGCTCAATTGGTCCACCCTTTTAACCTGCCAGCATTAAATTGACCAATGATGTTAGGTCCATCCCACCCATCTCTCTTTGCTTCCCAGAATCCCCCACAACTTGAAACTGTCTGGTTCTCAGTGACTGTTTATCATATCTCTGAGTCCAATAGCCTCAGCATTTCAGCTGTAACTTCCAGCCCTGCCTCTTCTACTTCTGAATCAAAATCTGAGTTAACAACCTTTGAAGCTTGTTATTATAGTAGGGGTAGACCAAATACCTACACATTGTTTCAACGTCTCAGATTAATATGTAGTGGTGGAAATGGTTTAGTAGTAGTAGTTTAAGTTGCTGCAGATCCTTTTCAATCTGTAAATTAAAAGACTGTTGCCCATGAGAACATCAAACTGGTGTCATGTTTCTTCAGTGCTGGGGTCCAGTTACAAAGGGGACCTGTCTGCTTGGGAAGCCTGGCCTGGGGTCAGATGCAGCCAGGGTGCCGCTGCTGGAGAGGTGACTGCTGAGACATGGCAGGTTATCGTAGTTGGGAACGCCTTCCTAAGGGGTACCAAGACGGTGGTGTGCTGGTTAGATCTTGAAGCAAATGAAGTCTGCTAAATACATGCATCTGAAATTTGACAAACAGGCTGGTGTATCCCCCCCCCCCCACAGAGGGGGTCATCAGCTGCTTCTGGTGATCCATCTGGGGATGAATGACACAGCCAGGCAGAGGCTGGGTGGGATCACTCAGGACTTCGAGGCTTTGGGCAAGAGGGGCTGAAGTTTCAGGTGGCTTTTTCCTCATTCTTGCTGGTCAGACATGGGCTGACCAGGGAGAGGAGGTTGTGGAGACCTACAGAGGGCATGGTGTCAGAAGGAACGCTTTGGGTTCCTTGATCATGGCAACGAGTGCCTTGCTAAGGAATTTCTGAAAAGGGACAGGTCTGTTTGTTGTAGCTGTAGGTTTCAGGTCTTGTCTGCTTTGGACTTGTAGATATAGCTTGGCTTAGTTTGGTTTTGTGCCAATACCATGCATGTTTCATGACTTTTTGGGCCTACTGCTTACAATAGTTTGTGTTGTTTTCCCAGGACTTGCCTTTAAGGCAATCCACCTGAATATTACACATGGTAGTTCTCAATATAGAGACAACACATAGATAACAACAGAATTTTTGAAACAGGCTTGTAGATGGCACTCATTGCCTACATTCTTACTAACAGGAGGTGACCTCAAATGCTCTTTAAAGGAATCCCTTTCCTTAATTATGACTTGAATTCTGAATTCTGTTAGGTAACTAGGTCAGGATGGGAAGGCAGGCAGGCAGGCAGGAAGAGGAATCTTTCTAATCTGCCAGGCTATTTTGCCCTAAAACAGACAGACAATACTAGCTCTTACTGCAGTTATTTGAAGAAAAACAAAAATGCCATGTACATCTTCTACCACCAACTGATGAGATTCCCCATAGAGAATCTCTGTTGACTGAAAAAGCAAGTTGCTCTCTAAGCTTCAACAATCCTACTAAACAACAATGGAGGTTTCTTGTAAACCTTTCAGAGTTTATTTGCCATACTGTTTGAACTATATTGCAGAATTGTCCTAAGCTACTAAAATGTCCTACAAGTAATGTGGGTCCACTGCTTCTTTACATAAGAACAGAGAAAGAATAGGAACTCTTTTCTTTGTTACTAACTTTCAAGTTTAGAGGAATAAGGAAGGCATGATGGGTTACATGAAGCCACTGGGAGAGGTCATCCAGAGGTATGGGCTGAAGACTCAGCAATATTTATTTATTTATTTAAACAACTTATATGCCACCCCATCGCATGAGCTTCGGGGCGGCTTACGATGATAAAATCCCGCATAAAGTACAAAAAAGAAAAAAAAATCAAATAATTAAAATACATAAATAAAATAGTGGACACAGCCTGGTCAATTTAAAATCAACAAATAAACCATTAACAGTTAAAATAGCATTTAAATAAAAAGGTCTTGGCCTGGCGCTGAAAAACATAAGGTTGGCGCCAGGCAGACCTCTCTGGGGAGCGCATTCCATAGGTTGGGTGCCACTGCAGAGAAAGCCCTCCTCCGAGTACTCACCCTCTTAATATCCTTTATGGAGGGTTCCCAAAGAAGGGCCTCTGCCGCCAATCTCAGGGGGCGGGAGGGCATATATAGACGCAGGCGCTCCTTTAGGTAACCAGGGCCTAAGCCGTTCAACGCTTTGTAGGTGATAACCAGCACCCTGAATTGGGCCCAGACTTCAATGGGGAGCCAGTGGAGCTGATGGAGGACTGGGGTTATATGAGAACAATGTCCAGTCCCTGTCAGCAGCCTGGCAGTTCTATTTTGCACCAACTGAAGTATCTGGACCGTCTTCAAGGGCAGCCCCACATAGAGTACGTTGCAGAAGTCTAATCAGGAAGTGATCGATGCATGTGTCACTGTTGCCAGGCAGTTGTTCTCCAGGCAGGGACGCAGCTGATGGATCAGCCGAAGCTGAAGGAAAGAGCTCCTTGCCACCGCTGTCACTTGAGCTTCCAATATGCTGATGATATTCAGATCTACCTCTCTTTCACAGCTCATTCACGTGCTCTGTGACAGCTCTGTCACAATCCTGAACTGGGGCCTGAGCTTGATAATGGACTGGATGAGGGTCAATCCTGACAAGACGGAGGTGCTGCTTGCAGTGGGGGTCAACTGACAAGTTAGAGGGGAATTGCCCTGTCCTTGATGGGGTTGTACTCCCCATAAGGGAGAGGGTCCGCAGTCTGGGGGTGCTTCTGGACCTGGGTATAGTGGTCCACCTATACTGAAAGATCTCAATTGGTTACCAATTGTGGCTCAGGCCCAATTCAAGTGCTTGTTGACATATAAAGCCCTAAATGGCCTAGGCCCTGGTTACCTTAAGGTGCGCTTGCACCCATATTATTTATTATTTATTTTATTAACAATATTTATACCTCATCCTTTACAAAATGTCCCAGGATGGCTTACAACCACAAATACATACATACATACAACTAAATACAACATAACATAACAAGTGAACAGAGCATAGCTGAGCATAACAATGTTAAAATCTAGTTAAAATAATTAAATATTAAAATATTGGACAAATAAAAAGGTTTTTGCCTGACACCGAAATGAATATAACATTGGCACCAGGAGAACCTCTCTGGGGAGGAAATTCCACAGTTGGGGTATCACTGCAGAGAAGGCCCTCCTCGGGAATTCATTCTCCTAACCTCCTTCAAGGAGTGTTCCTGGAGTAGGTTCTTTGCCTCAAGATCTGAGGCAGGGGCGGGAGGGCACATACGGAAGAAGATGTTCCTTCAGGTATCCTGGTCCCAAGTCATTTAGGGCTTTATAGGTCAACATCAGCACCTTAAATTGGGCCCGGACTTCATCTGGGAGCCAGTGTAGTTGATAGAGGACCAGAGTTATATGAGACTAATGACTGGACCCCATCAACAATTTGGCAGCTCTATTTTGAACCAATTGAAGTATCCAGACTGTCTTCAAGGGCAGCTTCACGTAGAACACGTGCTCGTCCAGGTAAGGATGAAACTGATGAATCAGCCAAAGCTGATAGAAAGCGCTCCTCACCACCACTGTCACCTGAGCCTCCAGGGACAGCTCTAGTTCGAGGAGCACTCCCAAGCTGTGAATCCTGTCCTTTAGAGGGAGTGCAACCCCATCCAGGACAGGATCAAAATCACTTACCTGAAAACCCGAACCACCCACCAAAAGGACCTCCATCTTATCTCAATTGAGCCTCAGTTTATTGGCCCTCAGTCAGCTCATTACCCCAGCCAGGCACCAGTTAAGGACAGCCACTGCCTCACCTGGAGCAGATGTAAAAGAGAGGTAGAGCTGGGTGTCATCAGCATACTGATGGCTCCACAGCCCAAACCTCCGGATGACCTCTCCCAGCGGTTTCATGTAGATGTTAAAAAGCATGGGAAATAAAATGGAACCCTGCGGTACTCCATGGCAAAGCCATAGTCCCCCAGCACCACCTTCTGGAATTGGCTAGACAGGTAGGAGCGGAACCACTGCCAAGCAGTGCCTCTTACTCCCAAACCAGACAGCCTATCCAGGATACCATGGTTGATGGTATCAAAAGCCACTGAGAGGTCCAGGAGAACCAACAAGAATGCACTCCCCCTGTCCCTCTCCCTACACAGGTCATTATACAGGGCGACCAAGGCAGATTCTGTACCATAGCCGG